TGTACAACCATCTATAAACAAAATAGTAGTCTATCAACAATTAATTAAATATAATCATTTGTTTAAATCTAAATTATTGTTTATCTATGCATATAAGATATGTTGCACCCTTAGAATGAATAGTTACATATAAAAAGTTGCACTAGTTGATGGAACTAACATATTTCTTCATGTATGAACTGAAACGGTGGTCCAAACCCTCACTATATATATGCGTAAAACGGTAAGAGGCTTGGAGTCCATATATCATCTGGTTTGGCAAAGATATGAGAGGGTTGAAAAATGTTTCCGCTGTTATTCTCTCTAAGCTAACTTTCCATATCTGGATATGTCTTTTATTAGATTTATGCATTGGATCCGTGAATTATTTTTATGTTATAAATTGCTTAGACGCACCCCTTAGCTAGACTAGACACAATATTGTTCATTTTTTACACAATATTGTTTGTTTTTTGCTCTCCAGACCAAAGAATTCTCATGAGGTCACCCATTCTGGTACTACTTCAAAGTAAGCACGCTTAACTTTGAAATCCTGATGGGTTCACAACTATCATGGCTTTAAAACGCGTTATGTCATAGAAGGGTGTTGAACTTTATATATAGCACTTCCTCTTTCCACACCCAGATAATGTGTGATTGTGCACATGTAACTCGCCTAGTGTGGTATCCTGTATTTATAAAATTATCACTACTTTTATTTTTTGATAATAAAACTTTAACTTGTTTGTAAAAATTCTTTCACTGTTACAAAGTTATCACATTATCCTAATTCGGTCAGTGATCTGTTAAAAGCTTGTTTAATGACTAAATTACGCTTCTAATATACCCAAACCTGCAACTCCTACACCCATTAGCGCCTAGTGTAACAACCACCAACCACAGTCGCAAATCCTCCATTACCACCACCTAAAACCCAACACCATCACCCCCACCCAAAACCTTCAATACCACTACCCATACACCACCAACAACCCCACCCAAAACCTCTATTATCACCACCAATTAAACACAATCCAACCTCTGCAACTCATCACAAAGCCAACCTCCTAGCAAAAAAAAAAAAAATCAAATCAATTCAAAAACAAAACCGGAGGGCCATGACAGTCCCAAAACCCCTCACCACCACCCACCCATCAAAAACCTCCATCACCACCACCCACCATCACTGCCTATTATAAAAATAAAAAATAAAAATAAAATCCCAAAACCTCCATCACCACCACCTATTCACCACTATCGGAAATTGCTTATGAATCCGATATAAAAAAAGGCAATTTTTGTTGTCGCCACGGCATTGTTGTTTGTAGCTTTAGCCACCCCTTCCATGAATCTCTCTGGTTTTAATTGGTGAACATCTTTGCCCCTTATTTCAGGGTTATGGTGAAGTGCCATAATCGAAATAAAAATGTTGATATTAGCTGGAAGTTTGAGGTTCCCCAATTTGACTTCTCTCTGAACTTTCCTTGTCATGGTAAGCACTGGAGGATATGGTCTTAGAGAGTGATTTGCTAAATTGGTCAGAGACTGATTTGCTTACAGTTCTTAGTCTTGCGATGCCATCTGAAGTAGGATTCTTTGTTCCCAACAACTCAAGCACCTCCTTCCTTGCTTTCTCTTGCCAATCTGTATGGATTGCTCGAAGAAGAATACTCCAAGCAAGCAAATTTGTTGTCGTTAGATGTCCAGCACCATAAATTGCCTTGATCTCATCAATCATTTGTTCCAGCATAATCCTCTTGTTCATATCGGATTCATGAGCAATTTTTACAAGTTGTTTATATCGGTTCAGCTCTCTTTGATCGTCATTCAGTCCTTCGCACTCGTCGGCGTCGTTCATTGTCGACGTTCTCCAAGCGTACTCCCAAGCTTCACCGTCGATTTGAACCCAGCAGTTGGCACATGTTTTTACAGGGATAATTTTGTCAATGCAAGTGAGAACCACGCGTTAGTTTAACTGCACCAAACTAACAGAATTTGGGCAAAATGATAACTTTGTAATAATATAATATTTAAACATTATGTATATTGAGGGTTTTCAGGAAAATAATCATATTACCTAAGAAAGCTTTCAAAGTGAAAATGCATGTTTTTAGCACATTACTTTAACTTGTACTTTAAAAAATAAGAAATTATGTAAATAGTTAATAAACCTCTAATCTTTATGCCACTAAAATTTGGACAAAATTATATGTGCACAAAAATATTACATTCATAGGAAGGAAAATTTGATTAATTGAGATATTTTTTTATCAAGTGTAACAAAGGCAAAAAAATAAAAAATAAAAACTGCAACAACAAGAGTGAGTAGTTATGTGATTTGCATTGGAAAATAGTGGTCAGCAAAAGGACTAAAAGTACCATTGGCATCTAGTGGTATTAAATCTACCTTCTTAAGTAGATGGTAAGAATTTAGGTCTCCGAAAGGGTCAAGTGGATGTGTGAGTGGTGTGTGAGAAATAATAAATGATAAAAATATAAAATTGAAGTAATTAATTAATGATGGAGAATAACCAAAAAAAATCATTTAAGCAAGTTCAGTAATTAACTAATTAAACATATGTAGTGGGACAAGAAGTAGGCACCAGAATACAATACCACATTTTGTTTTATTTTTTGTGTTTAGAAGGCAACAAGTTAGGAACCATGTTGATGATCAATCGTGTTATGTGTTTAGTAAGATTCTACTGGAAACCACCGTCCAATAAATAAAAAGCAACAATAATTCTGAGCAGTGAATATGATTGGACTATATAGATCAGTAAGATTTTAGTACCTACTATAAAGAGAATATCTCCAACCGACCACTAATGAGGAAAGACATTTTTTTTATTTAGTTTTTAATTAAGTAAAATTTAGGACGAGTATGACGAGTGTCTGCTAGCTTTTAGAGAGAGAGACAGAGACTGGTGGTAATAAATGGAGGAGGAGGAGGAGAAGACGAGTGAGAGTGGGATGCCCTGCAACGGCGCACATGGAATGGGGTTGGATGGTAGACTACACAAACCAGCAACTTCACATGGCCGCTTCTTGGGCCCCCACTTCCCCCCACGAGTTCACATGCTACTACCCTTACTCTTGGGTCCCCCTTCCTCGTTTCTTTAATTTCAACCACCCGCCCACAAATATATATATATATATAATGAAATTAAAAGAAGAGGGAGATATTACAAAAAAATAAAATTTGTACAATGACGACAAGCTCTCAAGCCCATGTGAAATTAGTATTACAATTCAATAATAATAGAGGTAGGAGCTCTCATCAAAAGTGCTCTTAATAATAATATAAAATAAAAAAAAGTATTGTACAAATGTGGAGTGTCAATACAACAACTCTAAGAGGTATATGTGATTTTTATGTCAAATTTAAGATAAATTTATATTAATAATAAAATTTAGCAGAGGGCCTATAACTTGATATTCTATTAATATGGAGAATTAAAAGGTGTGAATGAGTTGGGTACATAACTCAATTTTTATTTATTAATAGCCAATAATTAAATAAACAACATGAATCATGTTTTGTCTTTTTTTTTGGTTCTAAATTTAACATTATAGCACTATATATAGAAAATGGTGGTGACATGTCATTGAAGAGAAAAAGACTAGACAGTGGGTTTTTTCTTACTTAATGGTTAATTAAAGAAAAAGAAAGAAGAAAGAAGAAAGAAGAAAGCGTATAGTATTTAGGGTAAGCAATAAAGGTAGTGGTTGATTGGGAGTAATGGAGAAACAGGGCACATGCAATGTACATTGCATTGAATACAAAGTTTAAGAGTTTGCATGTCAAATGAATGCACAGACAATTTACTCTTTCTGTACCTACAACTTTGGCGATCAAAAAGCACACAAAGAATAAATTAGGAACAAGACAACATACAATTTGGGCATTGTTTCCATGCACTTCGATAAGTCAGAAACTAGGCCCCCTCTCGATTCTCTCTCGATTCTCCCTGTGTGTCATAATTTTTGAGTTCCCCAAATATAAATATAAAATCATTAGCGTCACACACCAAGTCTCTCCACAGTTCACAGTTCACAGTTTACAGTTCACAGTTCTTTCATTCTCACAAGTTTTAGCTTAGAAGTCAGAACGAAACATGGCAAGTATTTATTGAATACTGTTTGGAGTTTAAGATTTTTTTAACAAGATATTTTTTAAAATTTGAGACACAATTCCTAACAATAATAAAAATCATGTGAATAGTGGTAAGATTTATGTTGTAAATATCTAGTAGTACTTTTGTCTAAATCTAATTTTTATTGAGATTGTGAAAATAAAAATAAAAAAATTAATCTACACCCAACTTCAACAAGAATTCTTCATATCCATCCAAAATAGGATTTTGGATCTCTAACATACTGAGTTAAGTTTTAGAGCTAGCTTACATTCAATTGGCATGGCAAGCTAGAAAACTTATGGAGTACTTGGGTACCAATAATATGGTACGGCTAAAAAATTAAATAATAAGACTAATGATTCATATTTTTTGTTAAAAAATTAAATAGTACTCCCTGTTCCAAAAAAATGTTTCTTTTTCAGAATCTTCACATGTTTTATAAATTAAGAATATTTCAAAATTAGTACATTAAATTTTGAATAGAAAAAATTATTTTGGGACAAGTGTATATATATATATATTTTAAGTATATACATTCACCAATGTACTACAATATTGTCTTTTTCTTTTGCCCATTACTTAATGTTTTTCTCATTGTCTGGCCCCCTATGTACTTCAGCGTCATGATAGACGTTAGATTAATGGTTTGGATAAGGGTTTTGTATGAGCCATTTTTTAGGCTATTGAAGACAAATAGGGGCAGTAGAATAACTGCACACACAATCATAGGAAAGCTAACGTCACAATGCCGTCACGGAGCCCGGAAAAAGGTTGGCAAGATCCCGCACAGCAGTGTAGCCACGTGGCAAGACCTGAATTGTGAAAAAAATGAAAGACAAATTCAACCCATCCGTATATTAATACCCCATTTAAGCCCAAACACACCCTTCTTCCATCCCTTTCCTACGTCCTCCATTATTGTTATCTTCGACCACTACCATTTACTGTCACTCTCTCTCACTTTAAAAAAAATAGCACAAACCAAACAACAAGCTCAAGAGAGACAAATTCATGGAACTTGGCCGGAAAATGGCAAACATGATCGGCGGTGAGTTGGGGAATAAGGGTAAGATGAATTTTGAGGAGACGGAGTTACGGCTAGGGTTACCGGGTGGAGGAGGAGGAAGCGAAGGAGATCTGGCAAAGAATAATAGTACTAACACTAATGGGAAGAGAGGCTTTTCGGAAACAATGGATTTGAAGCTCAACCTTTCATCCAAGGAGATTAACAGTGGTGTTGATTCCAATGAGAATCTTTCGCCCAAGGAGAAGAGTCTTCTTCCTTGCTCTAATGATCCAGTGAAGCCTCCAGCCAAGTATATATGTTTCTTGACTTAAAATCTTTTTTCTTTATATATATATATATATATATATATATAGTATTTGTTTTCAGTTGATGAGCGCATGTTTAATTACTTGATAACTAGGGCTATATATATTTCCATGTATAGAGAAAGAGGGAGAGAGAGATTACAGTTTTGTTTTTTTTTTTCATTTGTTTGAACTTGAATCTAGGCTTAGATCTTGAATGAAAGAGAATCGGATTATTATTATTATTTATTTTTTTTTTTAAAAAAAAAAAGGTCAGCTATTTCATGCATGTGGCCTGTCAAAGCTAGCTGAAGGCATGCATATAATTTAACAGAGAATATATATATATATTAACCATATATGTTGCTTAAGTCTTGATAATACAGATCATAGAAGTTCATAATATATAACAATTTCAAATGACCACTTTTCTCATACATTAATTACTCTTTTTAGTTTTTACAGGGAAAAAAAAGCATCAAATTATTATTATGAATTAAGAACTATTCAACAATAATTAGTCTTTTGGTTCAGAATGATGAACTGAAATAAGGTACTTGCATCAAGTAATTAATTTATTTCATATAAAATTGTGCTTATGAAGCTTAAAATTTTCATCACAATGTTCTGTTTGGTTCCCCAGAAAATGGCGGCCGGCCAAAACATTAATAAAGAAAAGACAAGGTTCAATATATATATATATATAGATATATATATATATATCTCACAACCACCACTTACCACTAAATCCCCATCAATTAAATAGATAACAATTCAAACATGAATTATGATCTCCATATTCTTTCATGCTTTGTTTATGTTCAATTCATAAAAGTTGGTTCCTCACTACTTTTTGAGGAAGAAAAAGAAAAAGATCCTCAATCTTGGTAGACCATTGATCAAATGATGAAGATCTATATATAATAGTATATTTATTCTACATATCCAAATGGAATTTTAGGGCACAGGTTGTGGGTTGGCCACCGGTGCGATCATTCCGAAAGAATATCCTGGATGTCCAAAAGAGCAACAATAAGGAGAAGGAGAAGGTTAGCAGCATTGCAGCCTACATCAAGGTCAGCATGGATGGTGCACCTTACCTACGTAAAGTGGACTTAAAAATGTACAAAACTTACAAGGAGCTCTCTGAGGCCTTAGGCAAGATGTTCAGTTCATTCACCATTGGTAGGTATACATTATATTTAAAATATAGTATAATCAATATATATATATATATATAGATGATGAATTGATGAATTAACCATATTGTTAATTTACAAAAACAGTTTTTTTCTTAGTGGAGTTACAATATTAATTATATGGTTCATATATAATTGAAGGTAACTGTGGATCTCAAGGGATGAAAGATTTCATGAATGAGAGCAAGCTGATGGATCTATTGAATGGCTCCGATTACGTCCCAACCTATGAAGACAAGGATGGCGATTGGATGCTCGTGGGCGACGTACCATGGGAGTAAGTTCTTATTCATTAATTCCTCACTCAAATTAAACATGTTTTTTCTTTTTTAATCTTTGAAATTAAACATTTTTTTACTTATACCTTCTTCATTTCAACCAGGATGTTCGTTGATTCTTGCAAGCGATTGTGTTTAATGAAAGGGAAGGACGCAAAAGGACTTGGTAAGTATATACATATATTACAGCCAAACTATTGCTTTACCACCGTAACTATTCTTAATATCTACTGCCTCTGTCCCTTATTAGTTGTCCATCTTTGATTTTATAACTTTTTAAGGAGACATGCAATTAATGTATTGTCCCTTTTTAAAATTGTTAAATTATCCTTTTTAATTTAAATATATATAGTTACAAAGTTTGAAATTTTTTAAAAAAATAAAGGACAATGTAAAAAGAGAAAAATGAACTACTAATACGAGACAGAAAAAGTATATAGACTATATATGTATATGGACACACACACATATATAAGTTGTCTTATATATATATATATTAATGAAATGCTAATTTGAATATTCAGCACCAAGAGCCATGGAGAAACGCAAAAACAGAAGCTGAAGTAGTAATCACCACAACCTGCTCCTTTGATCTTTGTGGCCACTGCGAAATAAAAATAAACCAAAGAAGGACAAACCCACGAGATGGATTGAGCAGAGTGTTTGGTTGTTTCCGTATTAATTATGGTTTGGTGTATTATTATTAGTCAATGTGTGATATGTATTTGGATAATAATTAAATGTTAAAGAGAGAAACAATAATAACTCTTATGCTCTAAGACGTGGTTTTGTCTAGCTTGTTTAGTAGTATATTAATGGTTTGTTTCATAAGTATCACAATAATATTGTACTTTTTAAGAGCTGTTATGTGTCTATTCTTTCATTTATTTTACTATGGAGTATTTATTTTTTGTTAGAAGATTCTTTTAAGTTATACATTTGTTCTATTACGATGACTTTAATTTTGTGCGGTGACAACTCATTAATGAATTGTTCCATGACTCTGTAAGAGGAGGAGCAAGATCATGTGCATGTCAATAACTAGGCAATAGGGCATTTATGCATGCCCTATTTGTTTGGTTTTGTTAATTTATTGCTGTAGGCTTATAAGCATTGCTATTTACATGTAATTGTTTTCCATTTTTTATTTATATAGGATTGTTTTTGGGATCGATAATGGTGGTGTTGAGTATTTTAGAATACATCATAATACCGTCGAGTATTTTAAAATACATTATAATTTATCGTCAAATATTTTAAAATACATTATAATTTATTATCGAAAACATACGGTTCCCATCTCATATGCACCGAGCATTCAATGAAAAAAATTCCTGAGGATGAACAAATACATTCAATCTTCCAAGCTCCAAATTCTTAAACAATTGACCGCGATCCTAGCATTCATGTTTCATTTGAACCTAAATAATCTCCTCTCACATACATATACACATATATATACATGCACACACACACATGCATGCATGCCCGAAATTGCTGAATTTGATGATTTCCCATAAATGGAATAATCTTCTTTTTATGGACAACCTGCAAAAGTTAATGTTATCATAAAGGGAAGACGGAAACAAGATCCAATGAACTTTGTCACAATCCGAGAGAAGCAGGATATCGAGAAATGATGCATGCCCATCTTCTTACGTCACTAATTGAGAGACAGGAACTATCTAGTAGTAATTTTTTAACCATGAATATGATATGCTTTTTAAAAAGATTAATTTACGTGGGAATTTTCTTCCATGCTCTATTCATATATAAGATAAAACAAATAATTACGATAATATTAATAATAATAAATTCAATAACTAAAAAAAAAAACTAAAAGAATTTGTTTTGTAAAAGCAATTGAATGAATCATTTATTTTAACAGCAATTGAGCTCCTTTGTATTAATGGCGATCACTAGTTGCTGCTGGAGTTTATGCATTTCCTAAATAATGGGTAAAATGCAAAAAAAAAATCTGAATTATTAATAAACTTGCAAGAAACTCCCTAAACTATCAAAACTGCAGAAAACTCCTTAAATTATACACATTTATTGCAGATCACTCCCTCGGGCCACTGACCTGTTGAAATTACTGTTCATGACCAACAATTTTAAATTAAAGGACCATAATGCCCTTATTTTAACCTCTTTACCCAAACACATTAATAACTCTAATTAACCTTACACCCAAACACTACCTATCTCCACTGTTTATCTTCTTCATCAAACCTAATCGTAGGATTTCACTGCTCCATCTACGACAGCGTAAGCAGCAGCTCTCTCTCTCACTCTATGTGTGTGTGTGTGTGTCTATATATATATATATATATATATCTGTGCTTGTCCGAAGAATTAAAGATATCCAGAGGAATCATTTGCGGGAGAAATAGTTGAATATGAAACAGAGGGATTGAAATCCAAACAAACCCTCACCACTCCTCTCCGGCGACACACCTCCCTCTCACTCGTCGCTGAATTGATGGTTCAAATTAGAACTAATTGTTTGTTTCGGCGAACCCAAATCGAGGGCATGGTCTCGTCGCCGAATTGATATTCATATTGAAACCCAATTGCTTGTTTCGGCAAACCCAAGCCGACTAGATTGCAGAGGGTTCAACCTAATTTTTTAAGTTTTATGCGATGAAGAGAATTCCCATATTGATTTCGATTCTTTGTGACGGCGGTGGGTTTGTCAGGGTTGTGGCAGTGAATTTGTGAGGGAGCAATGATGGTGGTGGAAGTGAGGGAAGTGGTGACCAGTGACCACGGGTGATTTGGTCTGTGCCGATGTACAATAATTTTCCCCCAAAATTGTGTCAATGAAGAAGATGTACAGTAATTTTCCCCCAAAATAACATACGGAATTTGCGAAGAAGTTAATTTGAAGAAATGACAATGGTAGAAGCGCCCAGAAGATAAGAAGAAGAAGCGAGGGTCTGCCACTGGGGTTCTGTTGTGATGTAATTTGACTACGCAGCTCGCCGCTACTATCACGCCGCCGTGATGCTCCATTATGCATACGGCGCCGTCAAGAAGTCCGTCCAGGCCTATATATCACGCGCCAACAGTCAGGTAATCGAAGTTCAATTACCATTTCCTGTTAATTCCAAGACTAAAATAGCCAACGAGTTTCGAAAAGCCCTAGAAAAGGGCAAATCGAACAATCGTAGGATTAGGTTAGCGGTGATCGATCATATCACATCGATGCCGAGTGTTGTGATTCCGGTGAAGGAATTGGTTAAGATCTGTAGAGACGAAGGTGTTGACCAAGTCTTCGTCAACGCAGCACACGTAATTAGGTGTATTGATCTTGATATAAAGGAAATTGGGGTTAATTTTTATACTAGTAATCTGCATAAATGGTTTTTCTGCCACCCTTTGTTGCATTTTTGCACTGTAGGAAAATCAAAAGCTCATCAGATTTGCATCATCCAGTGGTATCACATGAATATGGAAATGGATTAGCAATAGAGAGATGTTGGGTCTCCACCGGAGATGTGTTCGAGTATGGTCATGCTTAGGTTGCCGGCATGTTGGTGGTGGTGGTGGGTTGCCGACATGTTGGGTTACTGGCTCGTTGCTTTTGAAACGACGTCCAAAAAGTCCATACTGGTGGCTCCGCCGGAGGAAGATGTACAATAACTTTATTTGGAGCTGCGTGGTTTTATAATAAGGGCAAAACTGTCTTTTTTCTTTTCTGATGACTTGAGGGGGCAAATTGCAACAAAATCATAGTTCAAGTAGTTTTTTTTGTAGTTCAGGGGACTTTTTGCAAAACTCCAATAGTTTAGGCGTTTTTTTTGCATTTTATCCTAAATAAAATAAAAAATTCTTTTATTGCTTACTACTGAAATCCTACGGATCTCTACTGATACTTGAACACTTGACCTCCCTTTAAAAAGTAAGAACTTGATACTGCTAAGCCACCGACCCATTAGTGACACTTACGATGTTATTACAACTATTTTACCACATGTAAAATTATATCACCACTCCAGCTTAACTTAAGAGATGAGTTATTAGCAACTATTCCCCGCTACCACAACCAAAGCCCATCCTTCTTGTCTGTTAATAACTTTCCTTCATCTTCTTTTTCTTTTTCTTTTTCTTTGTTTAAGAATAATTTTTATTCTGCATCCAAGTTGTGAATTAATGACGGTCTAAAATTAAGCAAAATTTTTATGGGCCTGTTTGGAGGCCCATATCTGTTATTATTTTCATGTTTTGATTTCATTTTTGGGCCAATATCATGTTTGGAGTGGGTTGATGTGGTATTGAACAGGGTAAAAACATTATGAGATTTGAGCCAAAACCCATATCAAAGAATTGGTGATATTGGGTGATATGGTTTGCTGTAGCGGCCATACCAACCCAAACCAAAACCATATCAACCCTCATTTAACTGTAGCGGTAATATCAAGTATAAAAAATCGCATATTAGAACCGGACCATTTTTCATCGTCATTTTCTCTCTCATCGCGCAGCTCCTTTGGAGGCGATTTCATGGGCGATTGTTCTTCGTTTTCGTTACACCTTCGTTCCTAGGCTACAGATCAATCAATCCTCCCATACTTGGTTTTTAGCTCAATCGTCTCTCTGTTATGTATTTATGTGACCCGAATCTGAAACCCTAGATTGTTCTTCATCATCATTTTCTCTCTCATCGCGCAGCTCCTTTGGAGGCGATTTTTGAAGCCGATTGTTCTTCGTTTTCATTACATCTTCGTTGCTAGGCTACAGATCGATCAATCCTCCCGTACTTGGTTTTCAGCTCAATCGTCTCTCTGTTAAATGGAGTGTGACCCGAATCTGAAACCCTAGAGTTCTTCGCAACCACAGATCGACGCTTCTTCTCTGGAAATTTCTGTTGGTCATACATTCTGTGTATCGATTTCGTTAAGGGCGATTCTTTCAGGTGCTCTTTCTCTTTCTCTCTCTCTCTCTCTCTCTCTCTATATATATATATATATATATACAGTAACAAAATTCCAGATTTAGTTCCATAACTATAGTTCCACAATTCCATATTCTTTCAGTAGCAAATACAGTAACATAATCCAGATTTAGATATAGTTTTATTCTCTGCAGAGTGATGAATAATTCTGTGTATATAGAAATGGGAGTGCATAATTTTATAACTCAATTTTAATTTTATAGCTAAAAAGTAAAGCCTATTTCAGCAACTTATGAAAATTTATAAAGTATCATTCAAACCAATTATTTGGAAATTTAGCCTTCGTTAGTAACTGAGATCATATGACATGTTTAGAAATATAAATTGTCTGATTCAATTAAATTAATAAATTAGAAATAAGCATGAGATTAAAAATAAAATACCTAACTTTATGTCATACAATCCCTATTCGGCCTTATTATATTGTAATTAGATGTGAGATTTTTGTATCCTCATATTTTATGCAATTACCAGGCACAATAAAATGTGAGATTATAAGTTGCATTACCTTAAATAAGTTGCATTACCTTGAATCTGATACGTTGAGAGAGTCTTAAGATTTGAAATCTGACAGATGTAATATACTAGTTCTCGTCTGTGTAATTTGAAGGTAGAAAATTTAAGAACAATGTAGGTTTGGATCGTGATTACTGTATGTTGTTCACGTGTTTGGTTTTGCATGAGGTCATTTACACTCTAAATTTGCAACATAGCCTAAAAAAAGATTAGATATATCTTGCTTACTACTGTTAAATTACTTCATTTCTACCATGTGTTATTTTGTTTATCTCTAATGTTGTTCATGTGTTTGGTTTTGCATGAGGTTATTTACACTCCAAATTTGCAACTTAGCCTGAAAAAATGTTAGATATATCTTGTGGTTGTTGGAATAGTTTAGGAGGAAAATAGGCAATTTTACTTGGATTTGTGGATTAATTTTGTGGGCGGTGTCCCTTATTAAATTGATTGAATGAATTTTGTGGGCGGTGTTCCTTGTTGAAATAATTTTGTAGGCATTGTCCTTTGTGTTTATTGTGATAGGTTCAATTTTGAAAATGTCTATTTTTAAGGGGAAACCATGCCAGATTTTCGAAAAAAAAAAAAAAAAAAAAAAAGGAATTTAAACTTTGATTCCAAAAAGGCATGTGGTTGATTTTTTAAACTTGAAATGAATTTTTGAAATATATATGTGAAATATATAACTGTGAAACATATAACAATTTTTCAAGCTTAGTAGAATGCAGCTGTTTCGTGGTGGAGTTGAAGGACATGGTTGTAAGTTGTGGGTAGTGGCACCAGTGGGATTTATAGGAAGCATTCTCCAGTTGTTGCAACTCCAGGAAGATGGTGATCTCTAACTTAAGCAAATGGAGGCTTATGCAAGTATAAAGAAGTGTGTGTACATTTTACGGAATGAATTTTAGTGATTTCTAGATGTAGGTGTGTACATTTTATGTGAGTATAATGAAGTGTGTATGTACACACATACTAATTTTAAGCAATGTCTAGCTCCCTATATGTGCAAGTATATATGTGAATTGTGCAACAACAATTTATTAAGTTTGTGATGTACCAAAAAAACTTGTCATTTCATGTCTAGCTTGTGATGTCTAGTTTCCTTGATTGCTTGCTTCTAATAATATTCCTATTTATTATTTCTAATTATGGTTGGAGATTGTATGAAATATTCAGAACTTGGTTATCAAAATAAATATTCAGAAAAAGGAGAAATGGTCTCAGGAGTTAATAATAAAAATATTAACACTTTGAAGGATCTCTAGCACAAAATTTCAAACTAATCTCAGTGAAATAAACCCATTCACAAGCTTCAATGTCCACTAAGCCTCAACTCTGACCAATTCAAGAAGATCAACGTTTTGGCTTTACTTCTTGTTAGTTTCAACTACAAGGATCTCTCTCTATCATTCATAATGAATTTATATATATATATATATGAAATAAAACAAAGTTAAATGGAGCGCAAACCAAAAGAAAAAGATAAATAGAGTGCAAAGATCTGCTCTCATTGAAAGATTATTACAAAGTTAGATTTGTACTTTGGTTGCCACTAATCATGTCTATGCCTCATAAACATCCCACATGATCTTATTTATACATGTAAACTTATTCATAATTTTTTTTCCCAGCTCTTTAATGCAAAATATTTTTATTTTTTTATTTTAATAAATTATCTCAAATCATAAAGAAAATGGACTATTACATGTAAACTTATAATTGTATTCATATATATAATTATTCAAAACAAAAACAAAATAGTCTTTACCAAACATGTATTCTGTTATTGATTCAGAATTTTTGAAAACAAAACAAACTTCCCAAACATGTTTTGTTTTCGAATTCTTTAAAACGCATAACATTACCAAACGCGTTTTCATATTTTTGATATACAATTAACAAAAACAAAACACTCGTTACCAAACATGAATCTGATTTCTACTAAAAACATACCAATACCAAAACGATTGTTTTCATATCATACCAAACCATAACATATAACATTATCACGATCCAAACGGGCCCTACGGATCTCTACTGATACTTGAACACTTGACCTCCCCTTAAAAAGTAAGAACTTGATACTGCTAAGTCACCGACCTATTAGTGACACTTACGATGTTATTACAACTATTTTACCACATGTAAAATTATATCACCACTCCAACTTAACTTAGGAGATGAGTTATTAGCAACTATTCCCCGCTTTCATTCGTACGAACCACAACCAAAGCCCATCCTTCTTGTCTGTTAATAACTTTCCTTCATCTCCCTTTTCTTTTTCTTTTTCTTTGTTTAAGAATGAATTAATGACTGTCCAAAATTAAGCAAAAAAAAAAAAAAAATCAACACTACCTTTTATCTCCGGAGATGGCTTTTACAGCACAAATTCATTTAACATTTCTTTTTCAATTTGTTTAGAACATTTACACTTAACATTAGAATTCCTTAGCAACTACAGTAATTAATTTTTGTCACCGACAATATATTTGGGTGGAGGGGGAGTGGATGGATGAGAGAGGGAGGGGGGACATTTAAGAGGGCAAGCTCCTTAATGTTTGGTAAATTATAGAAGGAAGTGGAAGAGGTAAAGGGAGGAAAGAGGAGCTTTCCCTCGTCGTATAGATTTTCCTTCCATCCAAAGGTGGACGGGAAGGGGAGGGAAAACATCTTTAAAAATACTTCTTCTATTTCTCCTACCAATCCAATTTTTGCCATACCAGACACAGCTTTTGGAGCATAAAATCACTTCAAATTCTCCAATGCTAATATTCTACCACGAAGGATTCTTGTAAATGAGAGAATAAAATTCAAAAGGGAAGTACAGGAAGAAGAATTCTATCCATCTAAAAGTTTTGGTTTGGGGTCGAAACAGTAAATTCAGTACCGTGAGACAATCATTAGCTCCCCCATGCCAGGTCTGGAACATCGAAGGCAAATCAGACATAGCATCAGAACAATGAAATACAATATATAAAATAGTGAAATGACAATATATCGATTTGTGGCAGCACCTGCTGCAGTGGAAAGCTAACTTACTACTAACATGTACACAAAATAAATGGAGATACTCTGATGTAGGAGAATCTAATAAATATGTGACATTGGCAAGGTTGGTTCTGATCAGAATGAACTGAAACAAAAACTGATCGAGGCCAGAGAGCAAAAAGCTGAAATTCAGAATCTTCCGGGTAAGGTAAAATTTCTTGACTGTGAGGGTAAGTCAAGCTATTACTGCCAGAGATTCTCTTCTTGCTAAAATTAATTTTCTTGAGCCTGAATTGAAAAAATCACAAGACATTAATTGCTTTTACTTCTGAGTTAATAAAGCTTGATGAAAGGATTAGTGCTGCTAACCCTATAGGAGATAGGACTGGGCTAGGTTGCAAAGGGTATTCATCTAAATAGAAGGTTCAAACTGTGGTGATTGAACCAACCAAGCCAGTACCCAAGCCTAAGCCAAAGTCTCTGAGTCTATGCCTAGCATGAGTGTGCCTACTATTCTTTATTGCACTTAATGTGGTAGGAACTATAATTTATAAAGAACAGCAGTTGACATGATAGAAACAATTGTTTGGTACTGAAGATAAATGCAATCACACCAAAAAATGAGGGCAGAGCCAATCCTCCGAGAACATTTTGTTGCAAAACTTGTTCAACAAACTTGAGCTACTATATATTCCCCTACTCTTATAATCAAGTCAGACCACGTCTCCGTTTATAAAAATTAAGTACAATTTTCTTATGCTAGTAGATACGGAGTACAAATTAGGAATTAAGCTCCCATTGTTTTTTCTTGGCTCCTTTTATCCTTTAAGAGCTAAAGAGAGAACAAATACGTAATACCTAGTTCAAGTTTTCCTCAGAAAGATCAAATATCCAAAGCCAGTTTTGCAATAAGAAAGAAATGCTGTCTAAAATTCTCCATAAATAAATATTCATATATGCATTGACATTACTTAAAGGACGAAGGAATCAACTTCCCTAAGTTCCCTTATTTACTTTATTTTTTATCAACTAAATGAAAAACAGGTAGTACTGACCTTGTGACATTTCCTATTTTTTCCCTTCTAATCAACTTCAAATAACTGGATCTGCATTTTCTTCTTTCAGCTTATTTGAGAATTTGCGATGAATTCACAAACGGAAACTATCTCCTAGTTACAAACAGATAGCATTCAACTTCACCACCGGTGAGTCACCAGTCAACGGACTTGATTACCAGATCTGCATTTTTCTTCGACTTGTTTATGAGCTCTGCATTGGGCCGGTCATTGTACTCTATCTGCAGTACGAATTTAGTGATAGAAGCAACATACTATCCAAAAACTTGAAGGATCAATTAAGTTGGGAGGACCCAATAACATACACAGTCAGGAAAGCATTGATGGAAGTCATAAGAAACACAACAAAGTCAAGCTTACCCGCCACTTAGCATTATCCGGTGTCTTTCCTACAATAAAAAAAGAGAAGAAGGAAAGAATCAGTATATATCTCTATTTTCGTACTGCTTTTCTCCTTTCGAGACGAAGTGATTGGTTGACAACCAAGGAGCACGTACCAGTTGATATATGTCTCTTTAAAACTCGTTGCATTGCTGTATTAATGTCTACCTCAATGAACCTTTGAATAAAATAAAAAATTAAAATGTTATAGTTCCCCAAAAAATCAAAATTTAGCTTTGCCAAGAAGAAGGAAAACCTGGCAAAATCTAAATTAAAATGATAATAGTTCTGCCTGGCACGTATCCAAGTGAAGATATAATATACCAGCAGCACATTCTTTTGACATATCAAAACCCCTTTGAAAGGCACAGGTGCTGATGCAACCTTGTGTAGCCATAAGCCTTAAGCCGCAATCCCTCATTTTAAAAAATGGTAATTAAATATTTAAAAAAGTTTCAGATATTAGCTGCATAAATAAATTCTGCAACAATATCTGGTGATGTGATTCCTAATAATATTAGGAAAAATCACACTGACTTTACTGAAAAAAAAATAGTTTTAAATTGAAAATCACAGTTTAAGACGGAGAGAGAGAATTTGTCTGACTTTGTCTTGTAACATGAAAGGGCAGATAGCTGATCAACGATTTGGCTAAGCATATCTAGCAATATATGGACCCAGGTGGGCATTAAAGAAGAGAAAGTCAGAGAATCCACTTCAGCCAGCAGCGGAAAAGGTTTTTATTTTTTATTTTTACACTTCTCAAAAAAAAAAAAATAATAAAAAAATGGAAGGTATGCTTAGAATGCAAAGGATGCGATGGAATGCATTTGATGATTTATTTGAGGAGGGAGCAATCACTGCTGTCAAAATGGTGGAGCAACTATTGGCATAATAAAATGTTAAATGTGGCCACCATATAGAAATTACGGAAGAAATAATGGATTCATATACAGTAGGTCAATGCCTTCTTAAGGATATTTTAGAATTCCCGACTGCTTTTAATCAGACATGTGAGTCAGACCGAGTTGCTTTCGAATGTAAAAAAATTCAATTCAACTCAAGAAAGTCTTGAGTCAACAAACTTTTCTGTAGTGAAAGTATGACATGTGGGTTAGTTTTAGAAAGGGGAGAATTTGAGAGAGATGGAGAGTTGTAGAGAGAGTGTGTGTATTTTACAGAGAGAGAGTTCTAAAATAACAAGTTAGTATGAAGGAAAATTTGTCTTCACATGTATTATAAGGGCAAAATTGTCTTTTAGAAACACCCCTAATTTTAAAACGATAGACTCGGTATTTATTTATTTGTTTTAATTGTATTTTTAATTATTAATAATAATTTTGATTATTTGACTAATTGCTTATGTGTTTAATTGAATTAGATATGATTTGATTATGTGTCTATGTATTATTTGTATTTGTCTATGTGTTAATTGTTTAATTAGATTATATGCTTAAATGGTGTTTTGATTAATTGTAAATTAAATGTTTTCTTTTCTTTTATTATTTTATTTTATTTTTCTTTTATGGTTATGGTTAGTAGTAATGGGTCAACCAATTGGGTCCCATGGACTACTTGGATAGGAGGTTGGATGTGTATGAATTATTACCCTTGGATAGTTGTGCATAGATATATATTATATACATATATAAAAGGGAAAATAATTTATTAATTACCTTTATGGTAACTTGGGTAGTAATATTTAATCTGATATATATGTTTTATATTTAAATAATAAAAATACACATAGATTTGATACGTGTTATGTAATAAGTTACTTTATAATATTATGTTAACTTAAGTATTACTGGATAATCCATTAATAAATAATGGAATGTGTATAATTTATTTATTTAATAAAGATTTACATAAATCATATACGTAACATATTTTACTTACCTTTTTAATATATATAAAATGGAAAGTAATTTATTAATTACTTTTATAGTAACTTGGGTAGTAATATTTAATCTGATGTATATGTTTTATATTTAAATAATAAAAATATACATAGATTTGATACGTGTTATGTTTTAAGTTACTTTATAATATTATGGTAACTTAAGTATTATTGGATAATCCATTAATAGATAATGGAATGTGTATAATTTATTTATTTAATAAAGATTTACATAAATTATATACGTAACATATTTTACTTACCTTTTTAATATATATAAAATGGAAAGTAATTTATTAATTACTTTTATAGTAACTTGGGTAGTAATATTTAATCTGATGTATATGTTTTATATTTAAATAATAAAAATATACATAGATTTGATACGTGTTATGTTTTAAGTTACTTTATAATATTATGGTAACTTAAGTATTATTGGATAATTCATTAATAGATAATGGGATGTGTATAATTTATTTATTTAATAAAGATATACATAAATTATATACGTAACATATTTTACTTATCTTTTTAATATTTTAATATTTATTTTTTTAAGTTGACTTGGATTGGGAAAAGGGTTAGGGTTATTTTATTTAGCCTATAAATATATAGCTATAGGTTGCAAAAGGGGGTTAGAAATATTCACGTGATATATTCTAGAGAGAGAGAGAGTTAGATAGGGAAGGAGGAAAAGGAAGGAAGGAGGAGAAAAATCCTATAAAGAGAAGATCAAGGAAGAAGAAATTTAACTTTCGATCCGAAAGGTTAAGGCAAGTTCTTCTTCTATCTCTTTCCCTTTGATTCGTATTTCTATGCATGCCTAGGAAATTCCAGGATTTATTAACCACATAAAATTAAATAATTATGCATGTTTAATTGGATTAGAACATAGATTTTATGAAATTGGTTCATATCTGTTCTTGTGTTATGAATTGATAAATGCATGATTTTGATTTGATTTCCGGTGTGAATTTTTATATGTTTACATTATATATTTTTCATATCTGTGGAATGATGGAACATAGAAACATGCCTAGGATTCCTGAACATTAAATAGAAACTAGGTTTGGGTTTAAATAAATTTAAATAGACTCAATCAAAATGATACTTTCTATTTGAATGTTTTAAACAAACGAATGTATTTAATCTTTTAAAAATGTTTTAGCAATTGAGATTAAATGCGTAGGATGAATTGGATATGGAGAATGCTTATTTAACGGTATAATAAAATATCATCATATATAAGCATTCCTATTATGATAACTTGATATCATATTATCATAGTTATTTCTGAAATGTTTGATGTATTTCCTTAATTGTTACATCAATTGTTGGATTGTGTGGTTTAATGCACCGGTATGGGACGGTGGTATTCTAGGGACGGATTAACTTATCAGTTAAGTCCTACCTATTTTATATAAGGGAATGGATTAACTAAAATGTTAAGTCCTACTTATATTCAAGTCAGGTCAGCTGAATAAGTTGAATGACTTATGGAGGATTAATTTATTATATAAGGGAATAGATTAACTAAAATGTTAAGTCCTACTTATATTCAAGTCAGGTCAGCTGAATAAGTTGAATGACTTACGGAGGATTAATTTATACTGGATAGGATGGTTACTAAATTATATATATATAAGTATGGTACCATGATATGAGTTTGAGTCTCAGGATCAGTGGTTAGGGGGCGTATATCGCCAGGGATGTGTAGCTAGATATAGTATAGCTGTGTACCCTGGTAGGTCTAGGTACTCATGCCCACTATATGTGCGTTTTGCATGTTGCCTACTATTCAGGTTGAGACAACCCTATAGTCTAGTGAGGTTCCTTTAGTGTGTGTGTGTATATATATATATATATATATACGGATTACTAGTTACTGTTGGATTGACTAGGATGTATACGTGTATCGGATCTCTGCTTGGACTGTAGTAGAGTAGAACTTGTTTGTGGGCCTGACCCACCATTATTTTTCAGGTGTTCGTCAAGAGTAGAGGTTGTTCGTGCTGAGCAGGGATCAGTCTACTTCATTCTTCCGATGCTACATAGGAGTTCCTTTATGATTCAGTTTCCTGATTTAGATAGTTATTGCTGTCATTTGTTTAGTTTGAATTTTCTAGGGGTCCACGCAGTATGGATTCCCGAATTGTATTTTGGAAGATCAGTTGTATCAAAAGAGTTTATTAATTAATGGAAATATATTATGAGGTTTATTATTAGATTATCATTTTAGTTTCTTATCAGCATTTTATTTATTCTTCTTTATTCTTTTGTACTCTGTGTTCCTTTATTGCCGATTTGTTTTTGATATCCTCGGGTATTCGGGCGTGGGCCTGGCCAACCCGCATTCGGAAATCCGGGGGTATTACAGTTGGTATCAGAGCACTCCAGGTTCAAGTGTCCTTATGAATGTCTTTCGTTATGTGACTTCCGCGTTGCGTCTCTTAAAACTTAGAGCCCGTATTAGGATTCGTTGTACTCTATTTACGGTTTGTTAGGAGGAGCTGATGTCAATTATATTCTGTAGTCATATAATGGTTGGCACTAGGTAAAGGATGGGTTCAAGGCGAAAACGATAAAGACCCAAAGAAGTAAAGGAGTACGTTATCGATTTCGTTGCCAAAGGCAGAGTTAGGGGTCGATGGTTTAGGTTTGTTTGGCGGAGATTTTTGTTTATCCAATAGAGAGGGTACTAAATCTTGAAGATGGATGATCGCGCGAGGTGATCTGAATTACTAGTAGTATAGCGAATGTTATTAGTAGAATTGGGGTTGATCAATCTATAAATAATTAAGCTTTCTTATCATCTCTAAAAGAGGTATATAAAAAGTACTATTCAGGAGTTTGGGGATCGGATGTGTTATTATCAGAATGAAATATATAATATTTAAATCACATACAAGAGGGCATTGGTATTATGTTGTGTCGTTCTAATTTGCTTTATAAAGCCAAGTTAGACAATTTACATTCTGCATATAAAAAGGATAAGGGTTAAGCCCTTGGTATTTGCTTAGGCAAACATTTATGTTTTTAAGCTATATTTTAAAGGATATGTTTCGAGATTGGATAATTATTTACAAAACTATAAAAGGAAATTTTGAAACAATCTAGTAAGATTGATTTCAAAGGAGACTTTCTTTTCTAGAAAGAACGATGTCCTAAGTAAGAGTATATTTTGTTTTATTGTGTTTATCATACGTGTTTTATTTTTATTTTTTTTGTTAATTACTCGGGATTTGGTATGTGGTTTAGTTAGGGACACGAGTGTGTGA